TGCTGCATTAATGCAGTATAGCACAAAGGAAGTTGTAGAATAAAACATACTAGAATACCAGAGCAGTAGAATAGCTGAATATAATAGTTGAATAGTAGTAGAGCAGGATAATAAGTCAGAGTTTCGGGAAATCAGAAAGTAAGATCTTTCGAACGGCGTTTTCAGGAGAAAACAATAATTGTTAAGAATTCGATTCAAATATTTCAATTTCCTTTATATAAATCTATGCTGTTAAAGTATAAAGTTGAAATGCGTTCCTTTTGCTCAGTGCTGGAGATATAGTCGCAGAAGAGAGAAGTCGTATTTCTTCGAAAAAAACGTCTGTATCCGCGGAACTGAGGAAAAGGAAAGCTTGGCTTTAATCTTATTTTGTAGAAGACGTTTGGGACTACCTACCTGTGAAAAAGAAACCCATAGATTACTATGCGAAACTTTTTAATTATAAACTGGTTTCTCAGAGATCCCTTGAAAAACGAGATTTATTATAAGCACTATTACTCATCGGAAAGCGATAACCATATACAACCATATAAAACCACTTTTAAGGCTCTATCGATCGAGTCTGTTTGATGACGAAAACAAGGATTCGTGAAGTTCAAAATCAAACATTTCTGGAACCAGATGCGCCGAAAATCATATAACAAAATACCTTATGGCTTTAGAACAATAAATCAAATATAGATATGTATTTGCGAGTATGGTTTGATGACAGGAAAAGACTCTATGTATTCTGATACTGTTTACGATCAGCCGTCCTCTAGATAGTGCTTTTTCTGGATGCATACTTTTGCTGGATTAGCGTGTGATAGAAACTGGCATATTTTTATTAATGCAACGTGCTCCGTATTAGTACAATCGTTGTGCGTGACACTATCTGATTGCTTATTACTGCAATATTGTCATTTGATTGGAGCTCGTACAATGCTTGTTTGCATTATTACCAAATGCGTTGTCACTTGTCTGTATGTTGCTTCTTTCTTAAGAGTTTCAGAAAAACAAGGGCGGCTAATAACTGATTATCGGCATTATCTGGTGCTACTTTACCAAGTAACCCAATGAGATTAGATTTCAAGGGATCGTTGTAGCTACCACTCAAAATTATTTAGGAAAAAGGTTGCTTTTGTGAAAACCTACTAGAACAAAGCTTTTCGGACAATAAGATCCTACTTATAGGTCGTTGGCGGTTATGATCTGATTCACCGTGGTCGATTATCTACCCTGCATCAGTTTTGACGCGTAAAAGTTGCACCAAGGTATAAAAACAGAGCTTTGCTGCAATATACATAAACATCCGCTACAATCACAGGACCGCAGACGAATTATGGCATACCACAATATTAAAGGATACTAAAGGAAGGTATTAAAGGATTCCACTAGTATGACGAGATTCTTAAATAACACGCGTCACGTCATTAGGCCTTCTTCGGCATCCACATAACAAACGCCGTTCCAAGATCTTACTTTCTGATTTCCGGAAACTCTGACGAAAACGTTAAAACGCAAACGGAAAAGCGACGTGGTCTCAACTATTTTCAGTCGACATTTCAATCCAAGTATGAACTTTTAGGCCCAGACGATGGTTTACATCATCAACGTCACAGCTTATTATCCTGCTCTACTACTATTCAACTATTATATTCAGCTATTCTACTGCTCTGGTATTCTAGTATGTTTTATTCTACAACTTCCTTTGTGCTATACTGCATTAATGCAGCAAAAATACATAAGTTAAAATGCCCTTCTGTTCTACTGAGTATCTGACAATTCTTAGCGCCTAACAGAACACTAGAACAAACTGAAAATTTCTATGTAAAGGACATTCGCCCAGCTATGGAAGAAATCGAAATGTACACAAAAGAAAAGTTTTTCTGCCATAAATCAGAACAATGACTCTGACTTACAAATATTATTTTTTCGTTTGCTCTGTTCTTACATTGAATGGGTGTATATGTTGCGATAAGGCAGCAAGCACTGTTTTTGTCTGCTGCTGAGTAAGAAAAACATACACCCTGTATGCTTCACCTTCACCCCGACAGGGTGTTTCAAAAGTCCGTGCGGTAATAAAACATGAATAACTTTTCAACGGTTTGATCGATTTACATGAGCTTTTCACCATTTCATAGGCGGTGCTTTGAAGTTTTATTCCACATAATTTCATCTCCAACTGTTATTCGAAATGTTCGTACCCTCAACTACTGAAATACATAAATTAGACATAAATCAGGCGTCTTACGTCGTCAATTTTCCTTTTTAAGCAAGACAATTATTTGGCTTGAAATCGCAAGCAAAGCAAATATAACCACAACGCAGGCAGCTAAATCCAATAAGCTATGAGTTCAATCCTAATTAAATGCGATTTTTTTCATAATCTGACTGAGATAATTTGCTTAATCGAGTTTGCAACAAGATTTTGCTTTTCATCATGATCAATTATTTATAGTTTGCTTTTAACGCTTGCAAACCGTCTGTAAATGGTCAAAGGATGAACTACTGGTTTGCTTCGCGTCACTAGTCAACTCATTCGGACGAACAACTCCGATCAGATGTATCACTCTTTTGCTTCTTCAGTCTTCTATCTTACGTATCTCATGCATGTACTCAGATGTGTATTACAGGACTGTATACGCAATAGAAAGCAGATAAAGTAAGTGAATAAATGAAAATAAATTTATTGACATAACAAAGTGTTTTGATGTTGGACACTATTCATTTTTTCTTATCAAGTTACGTTGTTCGTTGAAAACGTTTTTGTCATGTAACTGTTATAATCGTTGATGTTAAAGAATGACTAAAAATAAAAAACTGACGTAAGTTTTTGTTATAGATAAAGAACTCCAGTATAATTATTATCTATTGCAGCTTGACGAAGCTGCTGTTTACCATCTTTGGATAGATGAGCGTCGTCTAGACTAATATATCGCATTCTATCTTTTTTGATAATTCCAACAACCTTATCAATGCAGTTATCTGTTAATTCAGTTTGAGAAAAATCAATCGATTGAATTGTTTTATTTTTATCTGTTAGCAATAGTTCCCATACGAATTGTGCGCCATCACCCAAATGATTAAAAGAAAGGAAAAGGTGTTTTAACGTTGAATTTTTTTCTAGTGCATTACATAGATATTGACATCCTTTTGCTGTTATTGGACTACCAGAGAAATTAAGAACAATCCAAGTTTTATTAGTTATCAACTCATTAGCAATAATTTTCATATCGTCAACATTCATTGACTTGTAGAATAAATTTACTGCTTCTTTAGTTTTGTTATCATCTATGAATTTTTGTAACCATTCATTTTGATATGTTAACGGCTGTTGTTCGCCCAGGCTAATTAATGGAGGCGTATTTTGATTGTTTTCCATCTTATTCAGACTATGAATATGGTTGATTTTTGTTTATCGTTTATTTTCAGAATTAAACGTCTTTTGTTCTAGTAGAATGATAACGTTACGAAGAATGAAGATGAGTGAAATGTATGCATACACTTATTATAAGTTTTTCTTCCGTCTGTACTTTCTTTAAAAACAAAAGCAATGCTTGATGCCTTATCGCAACATATGTAAGGTGCTCAAAATTCAAAATTATAGCACTATTTTGTTTTTGTCTTAATCATACATTATTCGATAGAGAACTTAACGCTGATGAAGACTATCTGGTCTTCAGTCTTGCCAGTTCACATTATGAGTGAAAAAAATTCAAAAAACTTGAACGATCTTTTTGTTCGAGAAACCATTAACGTTTTTTAAAAACTGAATAACTTGCTTTCGCCTCATTTCGAAGCCGTGGGACTATGTTTTTCTAATTCAGCTCTGTAAACTGCATCTCGAAAACTGTATTTGAAGGTTCAACACCAAAAAATATTTGCTGGGCGTGAAACGGGACCGATAAATGTTCGGTTTCGAGACCCCTATCTTGCAAACCTATCGCAGCTCTTTGATTAAAACATGAAGCCAAGTTTCACACGCCATTCGATTTGCCTTGAAACGTGAAAAGAAAGTATGAGTCGCTTTTTTTTTAAAATTTTTTTCGTTCTTGAGATATTTGAATTTTATTAAAATTTAGCCGTTTTCGCCGAAAATCGGGCAAGTCGTTTTTCGACAACTTTTCGTTTCTTCACATATATTTTTCAAAACTATACTGTTGGATAGCCCTTGAAACTCTCTACAAACTGAGCTAGTCAGACAATCTAGGTCGGTCGGCCCGGTCATCGGGAACATGCAAAAAACGCGTTGGACGTACGGAAAACGCCTGTGGAACACTTCTTTAGTCATTTTTCTGTCCTAGTGGGAAACTATATATTTTTTAAAAGAATACCATTGAATAGGCCATGAAAGTCTCTACAAACTGAGCTAGTCAGAATATCTAGACAGGTTGGGTCAGTCGTTAAATATATGGAAAAGAAGCGTTTGGGTGGTATATATGCAGTACAGGGTGTCATGATCACAAGAACTCTTTTTATTTTTCAGTAAAACCTGAAACAAATCGAAATACTGTTTTGAATAGCCCGAAGATTTTTCTGCCGGATGAGGTGCATATCGCCGTTTTATGAGAAAACTTGATAATAGGGTTTCTGGAAGACCCGACCGCTAGAATACCAAGTCTTTGAATTTTGGACAAAAATTTTTGCAAACAACATAGTCAGATAGAGCAAAGAATTCTGAGCAGAATACAATATCTCCCGACTGTCTATAACACCTTTTCACGGGAATACTTTAGTGATTTTCACGCCCTTTGTAGCCATTCGTAAATCGACTACAGTGGGTGAACAGGGATAGGAGAGCTTCATGCTCCACTCAATCCTGAAGGTCTCCGACCAGCTCTGATGAGACATTTAAGGGTATTCAAATCCTTTTTCTGAAATTCTGAGATTTCTGCAAAACCACTTGTTTTTCAAAAAAAGATTTGTTTGTTGTTACTTTGCCGCAGTAACAAACAAAGGCAACATTGACTTCACAGTTTAACACAGGCACAAAACTTTTCTTAGTTATGGCTTCGCTAAATACTCTAACTGAGACTGAATTTATTCAATACATTTATCCAATTAGTTAGCTATAATCTTGTAACCGACTTTATAGAGTGTACCATTCGACCAGATGAACGGAGTGATTCTGCAACCTGTTTGGGTACCGAACCATCAAATGTTTTATCAGATACTATTATTGTATAAAAGTTATTCAGTGCCAGATAAATGTCGGCACGAATATCGACCCAGATATTATACGATGGGTGATACGTCCAAGTGAGGTAAAATACGGTGCCCCTCCAACTACATTTGAAAACTTCAATTGAATTCGTACTGTAGGGCTGATAGTTTTCACAATGGGTGCCAGTCGTTCTGTGCATTATTTTATCTCTAGCTGGAATACCGCAAACAACTATGTGTTTGGTTTTCTTATCAGCAAACAGCGTTTCCAAATTTTTTCTATACAATGCATCCCATAGTTTATTGCGTATGTCAAATTTATCTAAAAATAAAAGAAAGCATAATGGAGTGATGTCTGAAAAATTATGCTTGACAAGTTTTACTTGTTGGTGCTATAATAAGTGAGCTATCCATGATTGCTGTTAGGTTTGCTAATAGTTGTGGACTATTATTGAAAATTATCCTCAGTTCCCGCATAGTTAATGCCTCCCTATGAGAGGCATCCCAGTGCATGTGTACGGAGTTCAGTGGGTTATGAAGTAAGAGAACTATGTCTAATTTGTCGGTAAATTTGTTTATAGGACGGTAATCGGGAGGATATTGGATACGATCAAAAACTATTATGTCTTCGTTACACACTTCTAATTTCGACAGCTTATAAATTTGTTCTACATCTCCTGCCTTATTTGCATTGTCAACAAACAGGTTGAAGTCACTTTTGTACGATTGTCGTTCTTTATCCAGTTCTTCGGTGTATAAAACTTCCCCCGCTTCCCCGTTAGAATCTAAAGAAATAAGAAACTGCGAAAAAATTACATACAGAAGCAAACAAGATGTGAACCAGCTTTGTTATGTCATAACAGCCTTTAGTCAGTATTGACAGTAGTTCAGGAATTCAGCAAGCTTTTCAAATAATCGGTTAACCTCACCGCCTTTAGTCACGGACATATTGTCCAGTTCGAGGCTATACTATGCAAAGAAAAAAGGTCACTCCTGATTAAAGTAATGATCAGAAACACTATCCTTGCACAATGGGGGCATTATAAGGCAAAGTTATGCTACAAAACCATCGCAAACGACACAAAAATAATGTATTAGAAATATCACTGTATATGCTAAGAAAATCAAAAATTTGAAGAAGAATACGTTAGGCTGCTGCGATTTTTCCGTTTCATCAGAAATCACCTTCGGGCTTGCTCAATATAATTGTAAGATCAGTTTTGGAATCCAGTTCTTCAACCAGTCCTTCCTTCACAGACCTGACCATAGGAGAGTCGATTCCCTGCTTTCTCCTAACTATACTAGTATCAGATATCAGTTCAGGTTAAAAGGCTGGAGAATGTAGACGAGCTATTTCTTTATAGATGGCGAAGAAGTCGATTGCTTCTGTGTTGTAAAAACCAGCTGTTAACGATATTAGATCGGAGATGTCCATACGGTCAAAAGTCGAGGACTTTCATGACTCTTCGACTCTCGGAGTTTCAACATTTTACTGAAGTGTTACAATAATTCTCAGGCATTGTGGATTTTAAATTACTAAAATTAGTTCCAGTTCAAGCTCACCCAGCCACTCTTTTTCATCAGTTTGAGAGAACACTTTAAAGTGTTTATCATGAAAGTTTCCCACTTCTACAACTTGTAGTTGTTGAGAACAAGTTTTTGACATTTTTTCTGTTTTCTCTCCCGATTTTCAAAACTTGAATAAAAGTTCTAAATTTGAAGAGCCACTGCTCTCGCAGGACAATGGGACCCGCTGAGCTGAAGATGATCTTCATAACTCTTGGTGCAGAAATGTGAGATCTTGCCGATAGTTTCTCTCACGAATCAACTTTTAGGCGCTAAATGAAATGAAATTCAGTGAAAGGCACGATAATGACAGAAGAGAGGCAGTTTACATGCTGAATCTAATGACAGTCTCAAAAAACCAGAAAGATCACATTTTCTTACAGCTTTCGATAGTACCCGGACCAAAAATTGATGTAAGCCTTGCGAAAGATTTCTCTTCAGAGATGTATTTTG